ATATTCTTGTAAACTAAGTTGCCTCCCCCAAGGCGTGAAATTTTCCAGCCGAGGGCCCTCGTTAAATCTCTAACTTTGATGTAAGTGTAGCATTTATGCTTTCTAGCACTGGATAGAAGCAAGCTCGACTGGCTTGCAAAGACGGGGCGACCGGGAGTCGCTTGGAACGCAGGAGGCACTGCATGTATGTAAACAACAAAAGGGTCTGTACCAAGTGACTGACGAAAGAACAGTAAATGCACTGTACCAAAACTTTTTCTTTTTTTTTTATATTTGAAAGGCTAGTAACGTCACTGCCCACGTCGCAAGCTGCCGTCATCGCGGCAGCGTGCGCAACAGTAATCTTTACCGAGAAACGTATATGAAGTGAGCGCTTCGTGCTTCGCATTATCCTCAGGAGCGCTTTATTATCAATTATTCGGTTTGGATACTTGTTTTGTGCTTGTTCTTTATTGAAAGCGAATGCTGTGCTGTATATCGTATTAGGTATACAACATACAGCACAATATATGCCCTTTTCGCTTCAGTCACTAAAGGCTTTCTCTTTTGTTTTTGTTTTCGTAAAGACGACGACACGAATAAATTCCAGAAATCCGACCTGGGAGTCATATACAGCTTCGCTATTAAAGCGAATTGTTGAAATTTCTGCCTAATAGCCACCGTTCGCAGGAGTTTAGGAGAACTCTTGGGTATAATGAAATCGTATAAAGATAAAACAACCGATTTTTCGTTGTCACTTCTTCGTCAGTGTCAACTTGCAAGGACGCCAGATGCTCCTAAGTTCAGGTGTACAAAACAATAAAGCCAAAAATGACACACTGGCACCATAGAAAACGACGCCCAAGACAAGTCAGCTTCAGATATAGCTGACGGGGTCATCCTACACACCCCAAAGTGAAGAACAACTGATCATTTTTCGATTCATTTTTATCGGCACGAGACGGCTTCACCGAAAATAACAACTTCATCAAATGGGACGTCCTAGGCGATCCGACGACTTGACCCCAGCTCGTATCTTGCCCCCAACAATACCTAGAAAGAAAACAAGCAGGACCCCATCTCGGCGGGCGATTTGACCGCACGCCATCGATGCCAGCGTCTTTTGACGTAGCACGATAAAATCAATCGACCGTACGTACCGCAGCTTGAATGTCGGCCTCAACTTTCTCGCCGTGGGAAGTGCCCTGAGACAGAAAGCACGAGGGGAGAAAAAAGAAACTAGGAGCGCATTTCTATTCCCAGGGCTACCTGCTTCAAAGAATACGCCCTTTGGGACGATGAATGCAGGTGAGTGTCGTTTCACTAAACTGGGGATAATAAGAGACAGCCCAGAGTTGGGACCGAGGTGCACGGACGTTTTCTGACGCCGCAAGCAGCCCACACGGATAAGGATATCCGTGCACACTCATGGAAAAGCAGGAAGGTGCGTTTAGGAGCGAAACAACGGGAAGGAGAGGTTGGTTTGTGTCTGCCGCTTGGAAAGAAAAAAAGAGAACGGCAGAGGAAATGTTGCGTGGGTACAGAGCAGAGCAGCACAAGAGAAGACCTAAGACCACAGCATCCGCCCCCCACGTTCATTTCGGCTTTTCGCACTTAAGTTGCGAAAAACGTTCTGGCCTGGAGGAAAAAAACTGTCGCGATGAAAACTTTCCTGGAGAGCATTCAACCCCAAAGTTGGAAGAAATGTGGGAAACAGAAAGGAAACAAACACTTTTTTTTATAACACGTTAGGCTAATACAAAACGGCCCAGTTATACTTGATTTTTTTCTGAAGGTTCGTTTTTAAGAATGAATATATGGGATTCTGAATATTTGATAACCTCCGTCTAAATCTTTTTGTGCGAGTTGGTAAACTTAGATGAAGTTAATATGTACTAAAATATTCCTACGTGACAAAATATAAAGATGTCAAAATAAATAAATCATAAACTGAACACAATGGAAAATTGGCAAAAAGCCTGAATTCTTAGGACCTCCACATGTATCACATTTAAGCTTCCTAAATCAATTTTAAGCTCCTAAATTTATAGCTTGCGACCGACAGAGTTCCTGTAAAGTGCCACAAATTTCACAATTCAGAGACATTAGGGCCTCGCGAAAAATCCATTTTTTCCCACTACTTCAAAAATAACCTTTATGGGCAAACAAGGCGTCACTTAGCAAGTTCTATAGCTGATCACCAGTTGAAGAGCAGCCTTTTTTGTTTTTGCTTTGTTTTGCGATTTGGCGTGCTTCTTGTATTGGTCTTGTATTGCTGCGCCAAGAACGGAGCAATGGCAAACACACGGATTTACGCTCGCCTGAATATATACCAAGGAACCTTCAAGTACCTAAAAGGCTATGCTACAACTTATGTTTCTGACATCACATCAAGGTTGTGCCTATGGCTGTGAAATGGAATATGTGCAGACACGTCGCTCCGCAGGTGGCTGTAAAGCTCCGCATGTGCAGTGCCCTGCACATGTAAAGTGATGACAGCTCCCATGTAAAAACACGTTATTATTTATAATTATCAATTGATGTTGTGGCTAGTACTGTAAACGAAGCTAGAGGCTCAGTCGACAGCACACATGTGTTGTTCAGTGGCTTCAGTATTTTAGTAACCCTGAAAAATATGGCAGGTGCCCTTGCTTTGCGGAAACGACCTTCAACTAAAGAGGAGCTACAGACAGTGGCGTGAAGCCTCCAACACTCCATTATTCTCATGTTAACCGAGCTGAAGTCTAGGTTTAATGCGAACAATTTGAAGGGATTGTTTGCTTTGGGAAGAAAGTGAGGGCAACAACAAGAAACGGGTTTCTCGACTTTTCTACACTTTATCAAAATTGATATAAACTTTGTGCACTCCATTTTCAGTCAGTGAACTAGTTGATCGGCGAGAAAACAGTTGCGTTAAAATCGATAATCCTATAAATAACCCCCTATACCAATATTTCTCTTAAGGGTGAGTGCACAAAAAAAAAAAAACGAATATGCTGGTGAACTTGTATGTCCACGAACAGAACACGACCAGATGTTGTAGTCTGGCTAAGAGCAATTGACTCGCCTTTCCTGATTACCTCTGCAATTGTGTACGAAAAGTATTCCAGAGCCAAAAAAGGAACTGTAAACGAGAGGTATAATGGCTCCGTCAAATGGTATAATTCTTACTATGCGGTGTATGTAGGACCCACTACGTGGCAGGTAGACTACGTGTGATTATGAGCCTTTCGTCCAATGATTATAAGAGCACTCAATTATTATTTTTGTTAAAACATGAACAAAAGTTAAGGGGTACAAATTATTCTTAGCGCAAAGATAGTGTACCTTTTTAACGTGATACTCTTAAGATATAAGGAAAGTATAGATTTCATATGGGTCTACCACTATAAGCAAGACCTATTGCTTCATTAATTCAAAGAATGTTTTGGTGTGATATTTATTAAAATACTAAACTATGAAAACAACGAAACTTTATCAAGATAAAAGCGACAGAAATAAAATGAAAGAGTTGAAGCTTTACAAAATGCGAGATTGCGAAGAAATCCGAATCACTGTCCTTCACACTAGTTAGGAAATGAAGTACGGGTCGTCTAATACATGTACGTTACACATAAAGTTATGCACATCAGTATTTCTCACTCCGAAGCGTAGTATGGATTATCTTTCGGTGTATTGTGCGCACAGCTAAAACTCTCACAGGCTTTACGTATTTTTTTATAAAGGCTGCAAATATCTTTTATTACGCCCTTAATACAAGCATTACAGGCTGCTACCAAGAAATACCTTTAAATTTTCACCTTGATATATATCTTACATATAAACACATTTATTTGCGGCTTTCACGTTTTTAGAAACCCAGTTTTTCAAGAATTTGGTTAGAAGAAAATGTGCACACCAGTTTTTGGATTATCGCCACAGGGAAGGATTTTCTAATAAATCTGAAAATATATATATTTGCCTTGAGAACTACATCATATTACTTTTTTGTGGTTAGTGTATTATCATTTATTACTTTTTCCTTTGTTCTGCATGCTTTTGATGTAATACATATTTGAAGATCTATTGGCCTGAATCATATTATAGAAATATATAGCATGATTCGCGAGACAAAATTTTTGCTTCCAATAACGCGGCTTCAATATTCTGGGATGGAGAAGAAAGTGTCTCCGCCCGAGAATATATATATATATATATATTTCATTATGTAGCGACAAAGCTTCCGCGACAACGCAAGAGCCGAACAATAAACCCTCACCTCAAATGCGTTTAGTCCACTGGGCAGAGCACTCGACAAATTATGTGAAGGTGGCCGGCAAACTGAACATAAAACGAAATGTCGAAACGAGAAAGGCAACACCGTCAAGCTTTTCCTCCAACACAAAAGAACCATCAAGAGCAATAAAAGCGAGAAAAGAAGAAGAAAGCAGAGAGAGGATGAAGCGCAAAAGTGGCGTCTACTTTCACTTTCAGCGTGCCCGAATACGCGAGTGATGTCAGAGCAGCGCCGACCACTCGACAACCAAAGCAAAACACGCCGGAAAACGGGGCGAGGAAGAAGGACCACCTTCCCTCGCGGCGTCTGCCCGCACGTTGCTATTTTCGAGAGGATCTTGGACGACGCGCCTCCGTGGCTCTCTCCCCGAGAGTCCCCCAGTGGTACAGTTTCTGGGCCTCCTCGCCCGCTTAATCGAGCCTCCATTGGGGGCTGACCCTTTGTGAGGTTCACCCCTAACCTGGCCTCCGGTACCCCCGTTGCCAGACCCCGAGCTTCTGGTGGTCGTCCTTTCCTTCCTAGTTTTCTAGTTGTTTGCTGGGGTACGAGAATGAGGGGGGGACAAGAAAAGAAGGGAGGGATGCCATGGGGCTGGGGGAGGTGGCCAAGGGGGTCTTGGCCCGTTCCTCCTCGTAGAGTCCCAGTGTATAAAAGTGGGGGCTCCACTGAGCCGAGACATCGTTGGATCGTGGGCATCACGGGACAAAGTCGTATCTTGCAAAGAGCGGAGAGGATCGTACCAACCATGAGGGCGCTGGTGAGTGGATCGGTGCTGCACACGTGCCCCGACTCGCGGCAGGCCTTATCGGTCGGACTGCGCCCCTACCCTACGGCGCTAATGGCAATTGGTTCGCGAGTGGCATCACCTCGGCGATGGCCGTCGGTAGAAAAGTCGTGTCGCAACTGGAGCGTTCAGTAGGCGGAGTGACACGCGCCCTCCGTTGACGTTGGTGAACCTTTTCTTCCGGTAGGCGCCGGTGCTCAGTATTGCCACTGTGGGCAGACATGTCTCAACATCTTTTTTTTTTTTAATTAGGTCCCGCCCGCTAACGCGTAGTTTAAAAGTGCGAACTGCTTCGAGTGGCACTTGTAGCCTATATTTAGTAGATTGTTCGAGCTCATAATTCTTTCTCAATGCTGGTGAAAGCTCTTCTCTGAGACCTCCAGACTAAAGAGCTTTCATTGCAGTGAGAATTGAAGGAGACAAGAAAAAAAAAAAAGAAAGAAAAGCTTTAGATAAAATTTTTGTTTTGTTTTCAAGGCTCTATATTTACACAGATCTCACGTCCAGAAAACTGGGTTGTACTCTACTGGATTTATAACATGGAGATTTAAATATGACCTCTTTTATTTGTTCGATTGTGTTTCGATTATCAAGCCCTCCAACATGCTAGCCAAACTGAGATATTAAAAATCAAAATTATAAGCCAAAATGCTTTCCCACTTCTACAAAAACATCAAAATGGAATTTTACAATTCGTCTTTTTAAGCTTATTTCGTTCTTTTTTTCTGAGTAGACTTTAAGCTTATTAAGTAGTTTCATGAGATTCCTGAAAGTTAAATGCGAACTTTTTTTTATTGTGGGTGCATAATATCTTAATGAAATCCAAACAGATAATGTGAGAGTCTTTCTTAGATGTTTATGCTAAGGTTAAGACGTCTTTACACTAGTTACCTTTAGCAGTGTAGGTAAATTCAATTGAGCGTCAGTACCCTGGTCGGTACGAAAATTTCAGAGCCTTCCCCTCGAAGCTATGCTCATATAGTCCAAGAACAATTAAGTGAAAGTGTAATATTTTAGCTGCCATGTGAGTAAAAATTCTGTATTTATGAGTTCCACTTCTGTAACCGTAGATGTATCAGCCCTTCTGTAGAAAGTTAGAAAATCATGGTTTGCGAAAGGAAGCCAGGATTTAGACATACTAAAAATAAGGGCAGCCATTTTAGATTATCCAGACGCTGCCGAAGCGAACACTCACTTGAGTAAGTAGACGACTATTTGATTATTGTAAAACTAATGCGATGGAACCTACGCAGTAGCGATCATGATTTAAGACAACCCTGAGACTGGGGAAAACAAGAAGGACAAACACGACAAAATGTTAGAACACAGCTCTTGTGTTTTGAACCTAAACCAGCTGTGTTCAGCTCGCCTGCGCCCTATCACTCATTGCAGTAGCGACGTTCTTTAAGTCAGTAAGTTGAATGAAACATTTGTGCGTAATATTTTAAGCAAGATATGGTGACAAAGAAGCTACTTTTATGAGCTGTAGGAGCTGTAAGAGTTGGTGGAAATCGGTCAATGTCAGTGCAGTCTCAAGCAACGCGACTTTCTGGCCTCCGATGGCCAGAAAGCGAAGAGCGAAAAACAGTGGCAAATGTAGCCATGCCGCTCTAGTTATTGCGGGCCGGTGAAGAAACGATCACAATCAAAACTACAAGCATAGCTGGATGTAGTAATAATACCGTGTGCCATTTTCGTTCCAGATTGTTGTATCGTCTCTCATCGGGCTTGCGATAGCCGGAAGCCTGGGAGGAGGTGGTGGCGGTGGTGGCTGGCAAGCCGGAGGTGGAGATGGCGGTGCAGGCGGCGGAGGCTGGCAAGGCGGAGGCGGTGGAGGTTGGCAAGGCGGTGGCGGAACCGGCGGTGGTGGAGGAGGTTGGCCGTCCGGAGGCGGAGGAGGTTGGCAAGCCGGAGGAGGAACGGGAGGTGGAGGAGGAGGTTGGCAAGCTGGAGGTGGAACAGGAGGAGGTGGTGGCGGCTGGGCAACCGGAGGTGGCGGTGGTGGCGGCTGGCAAGCCGGCGGCGGCGGCACCGGTGGGGGTTGGCAAGCCGGCGGATCAGGAGGCGGTGAGACACAGTGTACATTGACTTGCTTCCCTCTAGGTTGCATGACATCAAGTATGGCGCAAACGGCACAAAGCAACAAGGGATTTGGTGTTCACTCTGGAATAAAATGGTGTGATCAGAATTACATAAATAAGTTGGAGCTGTGGTTCTTAAAAAGCCGAGGTCGATTGTATCGAAGTAAGAAATAAACGAATAGTCATCTTGTGTTCCAGCTATCGTTAAACATAACTATAATTTAAAAGATTCCGCCTAACTTAAGTGGAATTCATGATTGAGGACGAATAATTTGAGTGTTGACCGAAGCGATTACTTTGTATCATGCCTGATATAGCTAAACACTACTAGCAATTGCAACCCTTAGCAAGTAGCAACTTCTTGAACATGTTAACCTCTTCGTAATGCCTAACTTGACAGAGTGACTTCAATTGAGATAGCACTGCGTTTTTATGTCTGGTGATTCATTCAAAATAAATTACCTGAGTAAAAACAAAGCAATTATTCATCCTGCATTATTGGAATATTCTCAAGTAAAAAAGAATTCCAACCTTCTTTCAGGCGGCCATGGTGGCGGTTCTTCAGGCGGAGGTACAAAACACGTCTACATCATTCGAACCGTGACCACGACCAGCGGTGGTGGTGGTGGAGGACACGGCGGTGGCGGAGGGCACGGCGGTGGATTTGGAGGTGGCCAGGGAGGAGGTCATGGCGGAGGCGCTGGATGGCAAGCGGGAGGAGGTGGAGGCTCTGGGTGGCAAGCCGGAGGTGGCGGAAGCACTGGAGGTGGCTGGCAAGCCGGTGGAGGTGGTGGCTCTGGAGGCTGGCCTTCGGGAGGAGGTGGTGGCGCCGGTGGTTGGCAAGCTGGAGGTGGCGCTGCTTCCGGTGGCGGCCATGGAGGCGGTGGGGGTGTAGGAGGAGGAACCAAACATGTTTACATAATCAAGACACTGAGCACATCCGGTGGCTCTGGAGGACATGGCGGTGGTGGCGGACATGCTGGAGGTGGCGGACATGGTGGTGCCGCAGCTGGAGGTCACGGGGGCGGCGGCGGCGGTGGCGGTCACGGAGGTGGCGCCGGAGGCCATGGAGGTGGCGCCGGAGGTCACGGAGGTGGCGCAGGAGGTCACGGAGGTGGTGCAGGAGGTCATGGAGGTGGCGCAGGAGGTCACGGAGGTGGCAGCAGTGGCCATGGCGGTGGTTCCGGCGGTCATGGAGGAGCGGCTGATGGAGGAACCGAAAGCATTATTCTCATCAAATCGGCTGGCAATGATGCTGGAGGAGGTGGGGCCGGCGGCGGAGGAGCCGGGGCAGGTGGAGCCGGAGCTGGATGGCAACCTGCGGGCGGAGGCAGCGGTGGGGCTGCAGCAGGGTGGCAACCCTCTGGAGGGGGTGGCGGTGGTGCTGGCTGGCCATCAGGAGGTGGCGGTGGTGCTGGCTGGCCATCAGGAGGTGGCGGCGGCGGTTCCGGTGGCTGGCCCTCTGGAGGGGGCAGCGGAGGTGGTGCTGGGGGCTGGCCCTCTGGAGGTGGAGGTGGATCCGGTGGAGCCGGCTGGCAACCCTCAGGTGGCAGTGGGGGTGGAGGCGGTGGCTGGTGGTGAGCTCGGGAGCACGAAGTTATCTCGGGATGTGGTCTCGAGTTCGACCAGGTAATTATCATCTGTGGTTGGCGTAAGGCGCTTTCTGGGCGAAGATGTTTAAGGGAAAAAGAAAAAAAAAAAAAAAACAGCACAATTTTTATTATATCCTGAAAAGCGCCAGCCATGCAGGCAGAATAAATTGTGGACACAAATTATATCTAAAGTATTCGGGCTGTTTTAATCATACTGCATTTTTATGGGTCGATTTGACAGGTCTAATAGTTCGAGAATCTGATGATAATCACGTAGTGCTGTGCAAGCTTGACTTGCTATGTAGAAAATAGTGTTGCCGCTTCAGTATAAAAACGTAACGGGCTTCACATAATACAAGAAAAACGTCACAGCCAGTGCATCTATCCACATGATCGTGATAAAGTAAATGATTATATTTGCTCCCCCTGAGATGCAACTCGTTTATAAAAGGCCACTTCGTTTTGAAACAATACTGACTTTGAGTTATAAAAACATCAGCTGCTCCACAGCAATTGACTCAACAGTAAAAAAAAATGGCGATGAATTGCTAGCGTGTGCATTGACTAATGAAATCCACTACTTCATTGCTAAGTCCAGTAAGAACTCTTCACTTAAGTTGAGCATGACTACTCGTCATATTTTGAATAGCTCCACAATTGATGTTACACCCTCCGAAACGGCCCGTACATATCAGAAACAGGAACGGCGGGCTCAATAATATATCGAGCTTAAGCTCAGCTGACAGGCAATTAACAAAAATGTTGTAATAGCGATGTATTGTTCCTAGTACGATAATTTTATACGATACTAACGGTTAATTTAAGTTTTTGATAGTTTAATTCACAGCCTTAATCGCTTTTTAAAACTGTGTCTCCTCGACAGAATACCCCTCCAACGCCAAATCCTGCCTAATCGCGGAGGGTCTGGGCTCCAGTACTACAAAGAAGTGTCGTAGGTGACTTTCGTCCGGCCAAGCACATCTCAACAACAGCTCAAAGGCCCTCGCTTCGGAACGACTGCCATTTTCATCTCGATACGTCTGCTTGAAAGGTTTCATCTCTGTTGTCAATAATACATTGCTGCGAACCCGGAAACCACTTGTCGGTGTTTACTATTTTGAATCATGGTTGCGTGCTGGATTTCCAAGGGGCGTGATGTAACATGATAGATAAATAATAAGGATGACTCCCTTTTAAGGTGCAAAGTGGGAGCACAAAGTTAAGGAAAAAATTTTGATTCAGTCAGAAATAGCAGGTATGTTTAAGAACCAAACACAGTGCTGTTTGCTAAATGCCAAAGCCAAGGAGGAAATGCGGTATTTGGGTCTTCGTATAAGGCTGTAAGGTTATTAAAAATTTCTTCGTTTAGACGTTTGAGCCTAAGCGAAGATGACCAGTCCTCATATCGGCGGTAAATAAAGTGAACTCATGCCCTTAATAAGCAGCCAAACTTGATCAGTTTATTTCGCAACATCTAAATGGAAGCAAAATAAATGGCACGAAGGCGTTTTCAGGAGTGTACGCTCGCTGATTTGGTACATAGTGGAAACCACACTCGCTCTAATAGCTTTATGGTTGAATGAATAAACACCAATTGTGGAGCTGGTAATACAAAAGATAACGCCACCTACATGCCGATGGCCAAAAACAAAAATACTGCAGGAATGCCGATGGCAACAGGTTGGGGTGATATTAGTCGTCGTGAATTGACAGCGAAATGTCGCTCCACTGGTGCTAACGTCGACGGCCTCAATGTATCGCGTGCAGCTCGAGAAAATGCAAACTTAACTAAATTCCAGGTTTCATTTGACCTCACATGCAAACAAAATTATCAGTAGCAGTTGAATTTAAGAAAATTTAAACAAAGATAGCATTAAAAATAGGTACATACGTGACTAGCAATATTATAAGATTAATTTCGCTCAATCTATGTTAGAAAGTGCGATTTTACATTTTTAATGTTTCGTCTCGAAAGTTTTATCTAGCTTTATCAAAACTAAAATTTAAAATTGGTAAAAAAAAACAAAAAAAAACGAAAAAAACAAACTTTTTATTACAGATAGAGCGGAGTCCATTGAGCACCAGGGTGTGTTCTTTAGGTTTGAGCTCAAAAAACTGCTCCAGAGATGACTGTGTTTGGTAACATTTTTAGAGGCTTTGAGTAACTGCTTTGATCCGTGCAGCAGAATTTTGGCTTATATATACATCTTTAAAATATATTTAAAAATAAGAATGAGTTAATCTAATTAAAATGCATTGTTCGTGCGAGCACTTGCATAGTTAGCACAATGAGAATTCAAGTGCACAATATTTTTTTTTGTCTGGACACTGAACATTTAGGTAGAAATTTTTATCGGGAGAATAAAAAAGACAAAAAAAAACTCCACAGTGGAAAATTGATTGAAATTTTGAAATGCCACCGAGAGGCTAAGACAAAGCTAAACTAAGGAATGTCAGGACGTCATCCAAGCAAGTTGTGCTGAAACGAGACTCCGAACGCATCGCAAGCAAACTTCAGGTGAAGTATCTCATTGTTCACAGAAAGCAAAATAACACAACAAATATCAACTAAAAAAATAAAAAAAAAATCTTTTGGAACTTTGCGAGAAAGTAATTTCTAGTGGAGCTAGCAATTGTGACTCGCGGCTTTAATTTTTTTTTTTGTTATTCAGTTGCAACTGGAAACCCGCTCTAACGTTTCGCACTAAAGACATCAGTGCTTTCATTATATATGTACAGAGTATGTATCGTAATAATTTCTTGGGGATTATTTAACTTGTATCGCGACCTTGCATAAAAGAGAAAATGGATGGCTTGAACACTACTCCAATAAGTTAAATAGTTTTAGAAGTAGGATAAACCTCAATAATATCGTTAAACAAAACAAAACTTGAGCAGGCCCGTGAATTCGTACTAAAAGGTTTTTTTTTTTTTTAACCGCTTCCTCTTTTTTCACATTCAAATTGAAGTGACATCTGTGGGAGATAAGAGAAAATATTCGCGGCTTCCCTTGATGCCGGCTATTCATTGTAGACGTCCTCAGACCGCAAACAGAGGGCGAGATGTCTCTTGCAGAAGGAAGAAAGTGAATTACCCTCCAGAGAGGGAAAAGAAACGCGCGAAACAAAGATTTTGCAAACAAGAGAAATTATATAAAACATAAACCAGCGGTGAGCATTGCGAATGCACTGCTTTTCCATGTCATATCATGAGGTTTACCGCTCTTCTATCGTGCAAATGTTAACACCTTTGATGAAAAAGGCAGAAGAACCGTGCGAAGCAGGTAGTGAGGATAATCAATATTGGTATTAAAAAGGTACTTCGAAAAATAACACAAAACGGTTACAAGCAGACACAAAAATCAAACAAATTTTAGTAGAATTCATCATTTAATCCTTTAATTTTATATTTTGTATCCGTGTGTTATAAAAAAACAAACACCGAAGTGTACAAGATGTTACGAAATAGTTGAAGCTCATTTTTCCGAATTTAAAGTGTCGTTTTTAGGGCCCAGAAAATATTTTACCCAATGCCACCCATATTATGGTGAAGCAATTTTCTTCAGCTCTCGTCATCACATGATATATACAGGGGTTTCCATGTAACTTTAGCCAAGCTATAAAAATATTTTTTGTATATTTTAGGAAGACGAAACTAAAGAAATAAGGTTGTCCATTTTTTGAAGCAAGTCAGGTTAGTTTTTATATTTTGCCCACTTAACAATTAATTACGGTTAATATTAAACTTATGAAATATTAAATTTAGATGAAGTCCATCGGAAAACACAAAGCATAGCCTGACTTGCTCCAAACAATGAACAAACTTATTCCTTTAGTTTCGTTTTTTAAATATACCAAAATATTCTTAAATATTGGCTAAAGTCACGTGCAACACCTTGTATAAGATGGCTAATAAAAAGTGATTTCTTTCATCATCTATTTAGCTGTATAGATGTATACAAAAAACAAATGAAAAAAGCTGCAATATTAATACTTTTCTAATTATGTTGTTCTGTTTTCCGCAGTCACCAAAAGTAAAACTATTCACAAACACGGTTTACATGACTAGGCATACGAGTGCCACACTGTATAAAGGGTTTTCCATGTACCACTGATATTAATTGTTTGAACTGCTAGGTGAATTGTTGAATTAATATTTCCCACGCATATTTCGCATTTCTAGATAAACAAAATTGAAACGCAATGTTTGTATGAATGTGTTTTTTTATTTTTACACGAATGGAATGATTGTTTTTAAGTACCCACGATATTTTCACAATTCAATATCATACGAAATTTCATCAACTACTTTCTTCAAACTTATTGCACATTAATGGTCACGAAAATGTATCAATTAGACAGTCTCATTAGCGAGAAAGCTACACTCGCTGCAAATGGGAATTGTGTCTTGTCTCCAAAGCGATCGCAAGCAGGACGTCTGGCCACCGCCATGCTGCCACTCGTGTTGGCAAGCGCGTATATTCTCATGCCTGCCCGAGTTGCTTCCTCGTGCACACAGCACGTGCGTGTACAGAAGAGCCACCAGCAGGGATGCCAATAACAACGGCTTTCTCGTCATTTATGCAAATAGCTATGTGTTAATTAGTGCGCCACCTTGTCACAAAAAGGTCACAAATGAATGCGAAGTAATTTTTCTACGTTCGAATGTTGAATGTAGTTTGACTCTGCGATCTAGTACAAGGTCCTTCAGCAGCGACATGCCCCATTAAACGCGCGTCGCCATTCTCGCTCTAAATGCCGTGCACTACACTTTCCGCGACATACCAAAACTGAAAGCGAGAGCCATCCTATTCCCTTCTCACTTTCCTCCTCTGAACGCCTCGAGCAAATCCGACACACGCCGATTTCAACCAACCCCCAAATAGTAGGACTGCGATGACGTTTACACTCCCGGAGCATGACGACCGTGTGCCGCGAGAGGCAGCAAATAAAATAACCGAAACCTGTTTCAGCCATATAATGTCCGCGA